ATTCTCAGTGTGTGGGGATTCTGGACTCTGCACTTGACTACAGGATAGTAGGGGTGGGCCATTTATTGACTGAAGAATATCTGGTGTCAGTACCTTTAGATATTATCTCTAGGCTGGGTAGATTTTCTCAGCTTCTATTCTCCTGCTTAGTGGACAAAAGGACTGGTTGCCACCATTTGGGAGCTTAATGGGGAGAACAGGCGGCAAGTCTCAGACCATTGTACTGAGGTTTACTTAATCCTTCTGCTTTTGGTACAGTATACGTGCCTCAAGTGTTCATGGTGTCCCTGTCAGAGACTTTCTTTAAAAAGCAAACATCTTTCTGCTGGATGGAGGAGGAGCAATTTCCCCAAGGCCTGGTGGAAAGCTGGGGATTTAAATTAAATGCTTATCAGAAACCTTGCAACTAGTGCTTATGTTAGGCTAGTGCTTATGTTAGGCTAGTGCTTATTTTAGATCCATCCCCTCTACGCCTTTCTCTCAGAAGAAGCCATGTCACTGGTTCTTAAGCTTGTTGAAATTTTGCAGTGTAAATTGAGTTGGTTTTCACTTTCCCCCACTGCTGGCTTTCTTGAATGCTATATCAGCGCACTGGAATCTGCTTTCCAATGTTTTTATCTTGTTCTCCTCATTCTGGTTTTGCCCTTTCAGAAAACAAACAAACAAAAAAACCCCTCTAAACTGTAGCTTTAGCTGGTTTTAGGAAGGGAATGAAAGCAGATGCATGTATCTACACTCTTTGCCCAGAAATCTGGATTAGGGCCCACTGTGATCTAGTATGACCTTATCTTAACCTGATCATATCTGCAAAAACCTTGTTTCCAAATAAGGTTGTTCTGAAGGGCTGGGGATTAGGACTTCAGTTTGCCTTTGGGTGGGGATGATTCAACCCATAACAGATGGTGACCCAGCAATTCTGCATCCAAGAAACTATTATTCATGCATAGAGGTATTTATTCATGGTTTACCTCATCCTTATACTTTTTGAACAAGGAAAAGGTATCTAGTTTTATAAGCCATGTATAACACTGTTACAAATATTGGACATAGTGCAAAAAAAGTATAGGCATAACACTTATGAACGTAGGTGAAAAAATAAAACAACCTAAGTAGGATATTGGGGAACTGAATCCAGCAGTTGTTTAAATAGAGTTAACATACTATGTGATTATTTTTAATCACAGGAATGCAAGGCTGCATCAACGTTTGTTGTAATCCACTGCAATTAATAAATTAAAGGAGGAAAATACACAAACTAAATAGATCAGAAACTTATTGGTAAAGTTTAATATTCATACATGAAAAAAATCTTTTAGAAAACTGTGTAGGAATTTCATAACCTGATTAAATGATATCAACTAAAAACTTGAGGCAGAGCAAACTTAATTCCAATTTAAGACAAGGTCACCTGTTATCACCCCTACCATTCAACATTGTGCTGAAGCCTTAGTAAATTCAGGAAGACCAGGGCAAGAAATGAAGTGTAAATATGAGTAAAGGGGGGATAAAACTATCATCATCATTGGGTGTTATGACTGTTTATATGAACATCCAAAAAAATCTGCACATACATTATTTAACATTGCTGGATTTACTTTGCAAATATAGTTATGCATCATTCAGAGACAGATACAATCTGAGAATACATCATTAGGTGATTTTGTCTTTATGTGGGCATCATAGAGCGTACTTACACAAACCTAGGTGGTATAACCTGCACACATAGACCATATGGTGTAGTCGTTATAATCTTATGGGACCACCAATGTATATGCAGTCCTTTTTGACAGAAATGTTATTATGCAGCACATGATTATTTTATTGAACTCTTTTGCATAGTGTTCATAAGCGACATTGTTATAAAATGAGCGTGTCTACTGTAATCAACAAAAATTAGTAATAATCCTGCACAGCCATAAGAACTAATTAGGAAATGTAATAGAAAGAACAATAACAATGTAAGGATAGCATTCCTGATAGTGATAGAAACAAAAGTTACCCTGGAAGAAAATCTAACCAAAGACATAGAAAACTTGCATAGAGGGAGTTAGGAGCATAAGGATTGGAAATAGACAAAATTATCTTTATATGTATTTTTATTTTATTATATGCTACCAAATGGCTCTTCAAATACTACCACCTATAGTATGAATTTTCTTTTCCTTGTATTCTTACCAATATTTTTATCTCAGCCAGTCTAGTGGATGAAAAGTAGATTTTTGTCATTTTAATTTGCATTTTCCTGATGCTAAAAAGGTAGAGTACCTTTTATGTTTATTGTCCATTCCAGATTCTTCATCTATGAATTGATAGTTTGTGTCAGTTTTTCCTCTACTGATATACTCGCCTTCCTATAATTGATTTGTAAGAGTTATTAATACATTATAGATTGTCTCTTTTATATATATATATATATTTTTTTTTTCTTCTAAAAGATGACCGGTAAGGGGATCTTAACCCTTGACTTGGTGTTGTCAGCACCACACTCAGCCAGTGAGCGAACCAGCCATCCCTATGTGGGATCCGAACCCGGGGCCTTGTTGTTATCAGCACCGTACTCTACCGAGTGAGCCACGGGCCGGCCCTCTTTTATATTTTATAAATACATTCCTTTAAGACTATCATATTTTTGTTACGGACTTTATGGTGTCCAGTTCCGTGTAGAAGTTTAAAATTTTGCAGTAGTTAAATATATCAACAAACTTGTGTATTGGTGTAACATCTAAGAAATCCTTGTCTACCTTGAAATTGTGAAGGTATTATCTTGTATTTTGCCTGATGGTATTAAAATTTTATCACTGTAGTCTATGTGGAATTTATTTTGTATGTAATAAAAGATAACTTTTAAATGTGGAAAGCCAAATACACTATTGCTGTTGAATAGTCTATTTGTTGCCTTTTTAATTTATAGTGTTTTCAGAGTCTCTACATATACTTCACATAAGAATAAATTTCAGAATAGTTATGGTTTACATACCAAAAAAGCATTAAAGTGCTAGAATAACATATACAGAATCCTTTGATTTTATCATTTTGCAGTAGGATAGAATCTTCTAATTATGATACCAGGAAACAAAGGTTTAAAAAAAGACACATTAAAGTGGATGAATATTTAAAACTTCTGTATGCATGTGTGGGTATATTTCAGTGATCGATTTATAAAAGTGTGTATATATTTGTGACATTCGATGAGAGGTTACTGTCCCCCAGATATTACAGTTCAGAAGAAAAGTGCAACCACACCAGTGAACAACAGTATAAATAGGCTATTAAAAATATATATATGAATGTCCAGAAGTGATAAGGAAGAACTCTCAGTATTACTAATAAATGTTAATAAAAAGTATCTGTGAAATTATCAAAGATCACAACTGTCTCCAGCGTAGAGAGCTGGTGAGGTTGCTGGAAGCTGGAACGCCCCCCCTCTGTGGGTCAGGGTGGGTGAACTCTGGAGGGCGGCATGCTGTTTGTTCAGTGTCAGCAGTAAACACATCAGTACTTATCCTGGCCCAGCAGTATCACGATTTGGACTTTATGCTATGGAAAAATAGAAGTGTTTCACAAAGGAATAGGCAAGACAATTCATTGTATGTTGTTGGTAAAGACTGAAAAGGGCCTAAATGTCCTTCAATAGAGGATTGGTAAATTGAGAACATCCAAATGCATTTACATAAGAGGGCACTTCAGAAAGTTCATAGGAAAATAGAATTGAAAGACAATGTGAATCTTTTTTTTTTTTTTTTCCTTTTCCTTTTTTGTCTTTTTTACTGACCGGTAACGGGATTGCAACCCTCGGTGTCGGGCCCGTACCAGGGACCGGCAACGGGATCGCAACCCTCGGTGTTGCGCCCGCACCACGCTCAGCCAGTGAGCGGGAACCGGTCTCCACATGGGATCCGAACCCTCGGCGGGAGCGCCGCCACGCTCCCAAGCGGCACACTTCTCCAGTGCGCCACCGGGCTGGCCCCAATGTGAATCTTTTCATGAACTTTTTGAAGTTCCCTCATATGAAGTAATAGTTCTGAAAGGTAACAGAAAAATTAAGAGTAATTTTGACAGGTCATGGGGTTACAAGAAAACCTGTACTTTTTTACTTTAAATATTTTAATGTGTGAATTTTTTGTGTTAACAGATATGTTACATGTGTAACTGTAAAGAAAATGCAGATATTACCATCAAGGGAAAAACAACTGTAACTGTCAAAGTCATTTGTATTATCTAAAAAAAGACTTTTGGGATAATTAGTGAAAATTGAGCACAGTCTTAATGATGTTATTGAATTATTCCTGAAAAGGCTATTGTTGTCATGTTTAAATAAGTTCTTATTTCTGAAGTATTTGCTGATGAAGAAAGGAGACATTAGAGGAAAGAAGTCAATTAAAAGAAAAAATCAGTTTGTTTTTAAATTTTAGAAATATCTGAATAGTGTAACTAATGATGTTTTCCCTTTCAAGTTGATAGCAATAATTTAGAGCCAAATTTGTGGTTGGTCCCTAAAGTATAATATAGATCTTTATAAAATGATTTTTTTCCTTAATCTTTGTCCCATCTTAATATTCCTGTTTGTTTCTCCCCCATGCTATTTTCTTTGTCATTTCTTATAATTTATGTGTAGTCTTTTTGTGTAGTCTTAAATCCTTTTAGAAACAATGCATATTGAAGACCGATGATTAATAGTTAATCAGTGAACTGAAATAGTTAATATTTATTGAGCTCTGCAATTAAGCCCCACAGTAAAGTATCTTCACAACTACCTTGCTGGTAAAGGAGTGCTGTCATGCAGATGAAGAAAGAGTTTCAGAGAGATTATGGGTTGGAGATCACAAAGAATATTTATGTTTATACACAATATAAATAATAGGTTTACATATTTCTGTGTTTATTAACATGTTGAGTAATATGTCTATATGTTACAGTATAAATGTTAGAAAGTAATTACATTTACGGTAATTATATATGATAAATACATAAATAGCTGACTGTAGCCTTTTTTCTTTCAGAATTTAAATGAATATGTTGAAGCATTAATTACCTTGAAACAAAAAATTATCAATACAGAGTAAGTATATTTGCATGTGTTTGGCAGAACCTGGTAAACCTGACAAACTGGCTGAAGCAGGTGGTGGTTTTAGGCCCCTAGAGCTGAAATGAGAACTTGTGTTTCTCATTTGAGGCCTACATGGTGCTGATTATAATATAACTTCTTGTGAGTCCCATCAGCAACTTTAACCTTTTGTTAGTGGTTCACAGGCCTTTGGGTTAGTAGGAAGTTGTTTTTATTAAACTGGAACTTTTTTTTTTTTTTAAGCTGTTTTCTATCTTAAACCTTCTTAGTTTTAGGGTTGAACTACAGATTTCCTCACAATATTTTATAGCCATGGTATGAGATACAAGATATGGTTTTGTTTTTGTTTTTTCCTTTTTGTCTTTTTTCGTGACCGGCAACGGATCGCAACCCTCCGTGTTGCTCCCGCACCTCGCTCAGCCAGTGAGCGGCTGGTCTGTATGTGGGATCTGAACCCTTGGCGGGAGCCCCGCCGCACTCCCAAGCGGCGCACTGTAGCAGTGCGCCACTGGGCCGGCCCACAAGATATGTTTTTAAAAAATGTAATAATCTCATGAATTTATAGACCAAGATAGTACTTAAAGGGATTTTAAATTAAAAGCTTGTGTATCGATGCAGTGCTTTTGAGGAATTTAAGGTGGTATATCTTAATTAATTAATTAATTTAGCATAAATTTGTTTCAGGAAACTTAGGAAGAGGTTGCCTTGCATAGTTTGAAACATGATTTTAACATAGTATATTTTACAGATAAAATGTAACCTAATTCTTTTCTTTGTTGCAGTAATTTGTTAACAGAATATCAGAAGAAATGTGATGATATCCTTTTATTGGCTTTTTCTTTCGAATTTTGGAATTAACTTGTGTATAATTCTGATGGAGATGTGAGAATCATTTTTCATAGATATCTTTTGGAAGGTAGTATTTACGGACTAAGTAGGGAGTGCTTCTCCCATGCACAGTAAACAGCTATTTCTTTTATTCTTAATGTATAATTTAATGAAAAGTTTTTAAATGAAGAGATCTAGCAGGCTTTGTTTTTGTTACTGATTCTGATTTTGTCAAGGTCTCAAGCTTTTAAATGGGTAGGTTCTTCTCATTCATACTGAGGATGTGTGGCATATGCTCTTTAGGATTAGGAATAATGTGAAACTGAATATGATACTGATAACAAAAAAATCTGCTCTGACCAGGTCAGCTAAATTATAGTGCCTTCGGAGATCTGGGATATGTCAGTAGTAAGGCCCACCTGTCCTGGAGAACCTTATCATAAGGTTCCTTGGAAACAGACATGATGGCACCAGAAAGCCATAAAATAACCTGGAATGCTTCTTGTAACCCTTACCCTAGATTCCTGCATGTAGTAGGATGTAACCTAGCAACCATCCCAAAAGTATACATCATGTACAACCAATAGAATACCTGATCAGGGGCTGTCCTCTCTCTCTCTCTTCCCCTTTCTCTCCCCCTCCCTCCTTTGATTCTTCCTCCTTCTTGTAATTATAAAATGCTAAGCTCTGCTGGTCCTCTTCAGAGCGCATTTCTCAGGGCACACCGACTTGTGTGTTTACCTCCTTGCAATTGTCATATTGGCCTAATGCTATGCTTTGTATGTTCATCCTCAGTTTTTTTAGGTCAGCAGTACTATTTGAATGTTATTTTATTTTATTTTTTTTGTCTTTTTCTGTGTCCGGCAACGGATCGCAACCCTCAGTGTCGCCCCCGTACCGGACCGGGACCGGCAACGGGATCGCAACCCTCATTATTTTGATTTATTTTTAGTATCTGATTTTTAGGTCAGCAGTACTATTTGAATGTTATTTTCATATTGGCCTAATGCTATGCTTTGTATGTTCATCCTCAGTTTTTCTAGGTCAGCAGTACTATTTGAATGTTATTTTCATATTGGCCTAATGCTATGCTTTGTATGTTCATCCTCAGTTTTTCTAGGTCAGCAGTACTATTTGAATGTTATTTTATTTTATTTTTTTTGTCTTTTTCTGTGTCCGGCAACGGATCGCAACCCTCAGTGTCGCCCCCGTACCGGACCGGGACCGGCAACGGGATCGCAACCCTCGGTGTTGCTCCTGCGCCTCGCTCAGCCAGTGAGCGGGAACCGGTCTGTATGTGGGATCCGAACCCTCGGCGGGAGCGCCACCGCGCTTCCCAAGCGGCGCACTATCGCAGTGCGCCACCGGGCCGGCCCTGAATGTTATTTTTGAATCTGCAAAAAGTACACATTTAGAACATTCAAAATGTTGGGAAATCAACTTTTTTTAATTTTTGTGATTTGTAGAGAATTGATTTGTATATCTAAAATCATAGAAACAGTGTAGTTTTATATTCACAAAGCGGTTCTTATAGTTACCATTTGTTCAAAAAATGTTATTGAGCACCTGTAATGTAGTTAGCTTCTGGTTAAATATTTTCTCAGCAAGGGGGAAAAATGTATGTAATTGATCCTTCCATATCTTGCGGTGATAACAGTTGCCTTGATTTAAATCTCACCCATAAAAATATTGTTTCTCCCATAAAAATAAACTTACATACAAGACATACCTTTAGGGATTCACTGAGGTTCAGGTTCTTCTTCAGTATTGAGACAGACTCTGCTGTTCAACCTGAGGCCTGCTTCAATATTATTTATGGCATACCTGAACTTGTATGTGATCACCAATTATTTATTTGTGCTGGTACCATCATAACTAATTTGTGTGATTAGAGTACTAAAATCAAGACATATTATTTTGATTTATTTTTAGTATCTGAATTTTTACATTCAAAAATAGAGGCCATTGAAAATTTTCTCGTGCTTTATTGAAATTATCAGTCCTTTTAGCTGTAAATGCATGCTATTGCAAGAGTATAATATCTTTATTTTGTTGCTAAAGCTGTGCAGAAACAATTATTACAACTACTTTTAGATAGCTAAATAGGGAAATAGATGGGCAGTTCATTCCGAGATTAGGATAGTATGTGTTCATTATATCATTTTTGGAGAAATGGTATAAACTTTTTGAGGTAATTACGTGTGTAACCTAACTGGGAAATTGCTATTTTACTCTTCTAAAATTTGGCACAAAAATTTTAAAATAAAAATTACCAAAATAATTTTTCTAAATGGATACAACTTTGGATTATTCTTGAATTCCAGAAGTTTGTTCTGTGACATGATAAGTACTGATTTCTTAAAAATACATTGAGCATTTTCCCCAAATATGTATTTGTTATACCTCAAGTATGCAGTAGTTTGCTCTACTACTTGAAATGCCAGCATCACTGGTTTAATATGCCTTTTTATATAATTTGGTTTCTTTTGCTAATAAATTAGCAATAGACTTTCTCATTTTTTTTCAAGATGAGAAAGTTGTTTCTTAATAACCACACTAGGATAATTCAGTATTATTTCAGCTCTTTTCTGTATAATTCTGACTTTTATTGTTTATTATCACCTCTTTCTGAAGGGTGGGGGATATATTTTATTTCATCAGATATTTTTTGAAATTTCCTATTCTGCAAAGACTACTGTAATTTAGGATGAATAAAATATACTTCTTCACCTTGAGAAGGTTACATTCTAATAAAGGAGAATGCAGACATATGTTTTGCAAACATGCATATGCTATATTGTGATATAAATACAGGAATTCATAGGAAATGAAACTTAGAATTTTTTGCTGTATTAGAATATTTTACTGGCAATATGAGATGAGAAAATAAGGTTATCAAATTGTATAAATTGTAAAAATGAGGGCTTATGTAAATTTTATGGTCTTTATATTTTCTAATTACTAGTTGGTTACATATAGTTTTTGTAAGTACATATCTCTTGTTTACTATAGTTATTCTCTGGACTATTTGAGAATTGAAGGACAGGTTCTTTGGGGTTTTTGATATATGTACAAATCAAGGTGTTTTCTATTGCGTATTGCTCTGTCTTTATTCTTGTAGTTTAATTATAATCAGTCATATATTTATTTAAAGTCCTGTGTTTTTATTTAGAGAAATAGATATTTCAACTTTTGATACATGTTTTGATAAATGGGAATACTAAGTAAAAGGACATCACTTTGTTCTGGATGGAACTCTGAGTATTGTTTTTTAGGATTTATGATCTTACCTGTATGTGCATTGAACACAGATTATTAAAGATAACTGTAAAGTGAGTTTTGTCCCCAGACAAGTATCAGAAGAAAAAACTCTCAGAGTTTTCTTTAACAGGTTTTACAGCTGCAGTTTGCAAGAAGGTGAGCTAGCCTTGTTGTCATAGTTGATAATATCATCTGTTTGCAAGTAGTTGGTTTGGGATAGTCATTTATCAGACCAAATTTTTAAACAAATTTGAAGAAAATGTACCTAGCATTGACCCATAAGATAGAATGTTGCTTTGATGCTCATAATAAAAAGTCTTGCATTTTTCTATTAAGTTGTTCAAATGAATTTATTTCTAAGGTCTTACAGCCTACCGTTTCACTTTTCAGTGACTTGTGCTGACTACATTGCTACTGAGATAAAGCTTATTACTCTCAAATTAGTATTGTCCACATAAATTGTATTATTTAATGTAGTTGTTTATCTTGTGTTATTCTGAACAGTTTAAAATAGTCCTACTTAAAATTTTAGCAATGTTTCATACTCTGGTTACATTTATCACTTAGAAGAAGGCAAAACATCACTATAAACTGGGTTACCAAATTGCCTATTACTTAATTTGAATAAATGAGGCTGAGTTCAAGATTGGAAGAGCCAAGTTGTTTGGCAAGTTGTCCTCTAATGTATTCTCCAGCACATTTAGAATCTATTGTACTTATTTCTCAAGTTAATTTTTGATATACTTCATCAAAAATAAACCACTCTGCTTAAAGAATAAAAAGCAATATGAAGATCATATTGGTATAAATAAAGGGAATGAATTGAAAAATATTTTTTTAATTTCTTTTTTTGTTCTAAGTTAGAAGTAAAAATCTAATGTCATTAGCAGTGTATATATGTTTAGTAATTCACTATGGATACTTCTGTTTAATAACATTGATGCATTGTTCTTTTTTAGAGAGAATAGTACTCTGCATCACCAGGTGGAACAGATGCTTCAAAAAATTTCTCCTCTACAGAAATGTCAGGAAGAACTGGGATCTTTAAAAGCAGAGCTAGAAGAGAAAAAGGTACCTAAGTAATTTTTCTACAAAAGTTTTTTTATCAATAAGATTGGGACAGGGGGACTTTTTATATTTTAACGAAGGAAAATAATTGAGACGGGGGGGACTTATTATATTTTAACAAAGGAAAATAATGCTAATCAATACTCTTTAAGTGTATTATTAACCTTAGAGAACACTGACCTAGTTAATGAATAGCTTAGTCTGTATAATGATTGTTAGCTCTGCAGTACCCTGTTAGTTGCTTATGCTTTTGGGGGATCAGTAGAGGAAGTGTCTACTATGAATTTTTATGGTTTTATGTGTCCTGCAATTAATTGCTTTTTCACCTTTTTTTAAACTAAAATAACATGCAAAAAAAAATTGAAATTAAGGTAGAGGTATCATCGCATGTGACAGAGAGAGGACAGGAGAGAATGTGATTTCTTCTGGCTCTGGTCTAGCTCTAGCGAGCTCAGTGGTGAATGAAGCTCTCAGAGCTTCTGTTTTGTTATGAATTAAGATGTCATTTAAAGAGTCTGCTCTTGTAATTCATGAACTAGTAAATGTTTTAAGTGATATATGTATGCTTTACCTCCATAAATTTCAGCTTTGTTTGATCCTTTTTTTTTAAATCTATCTTTTTTCTTTGGTAATCACGTTTGGTCCCTTGTGGAATCTCATAGTCTGTGAGAGGTACCCAACATAAGAGTGTTTCAACATAAGTGTGCAAGTTAGAGGTTATTTCCTTTACTGGGTACGTTGGGTGTGTGTGGGTGGGGGGGGGGTGATGTGTCTGATTTTTTTGGGTGATACTTCT